GCCTGGAGCTTTCATGGAGCATGATTCATTGGGAGCTCTCAGAAACTGTTTCTCTTTCTTTCCGTCCATATATAAGCTCGAGTTCACCATGTTACAAATAAATTTCATTTTTCCTTTATTCATGTCAACTATCATTGGTTTGTAATTTTTCTATATCGTGAAGAAATGAATAGATTATTTTCTTTATTGTTAATTTCTTGATCGAAATAAAAGATATGAGAAGTTCGACGAAATGAACTAATGTGTTCAACTCCGACTGATCAATTAAACGTTGTTTTTATCATGATTTACTGGATAAAGGCATAAAAGGATAAACGAAGATTCTTCCATTGTATCAGCATAACTCAAATCAATGTTCAACTGGCATTTATGTATCTCTTTTCCTGGTACTACTACTAGGCAAATACAGTATACAGACCAAAGGAGCTTCAGTTTTCATTCACCAAGAACCCACGCTCTTGAAGCTGCAAAAACAGATCAAGCACAAGAAAATGTTGAGTAACAAAATCATCAGGTTAGTCACTGTATGTCAATAAAGGAGGATATAATGTCAGTATTACCTTGTCTAGAGATTTTCCACTCGTTGTCGAAGCTAAGAGCCCAGAAGAAATAGCCACGAATTCCAAGGGCCTGAGCGAACCCAATCTTCAACGTTGTTGATAAAGCATCATCATACCCAATCCAGGTTGACCCAACGTAAGAATATGTGGATACGGTTTCCATGTCATGTACTACCTTGGCATCATTCTTCTTGTTGAACTTCTCCACCTGGACAAACGTCAACACCCCATTGTCTCCTGGACCGACTGCAACTGCGGCCGATCCAATCCCATGTGAATTTGGGTCCTTAAGCTGCCAAGTCCTACCATAAAGGGGCAGGCCCATAACCAACTTGCTCCTAGGCACCCCAGCTTTGATCCATGACCTAAGCCCATAACTTGTACTCACATTACTGTTTGGGTCATAAAGCACGGCATGAGCGCCTGTCTTTGAAGTGTCCCATCCTCCATGATAATCGAAACACATTGCACTAACCCAATCCAGATTTTGATTCATAGAGCTCACTGGGTATTTTCGGTAGACTTCATCCAAGAAAAAGTCAACGGAGAAGTACACCGCCGCCGTGAGAAGCAGAGGAGCTCGGTGGCTGGCCTTAGCTTCATAGTTGATTGCTTGCCGCCATTCCGTAAACAAAATGCCCAAGTCTTGCATATCCTTTGGGTTTTTAGGGAACTCCCAGTCGAGGTCCATCCCGTCAAAACCAAACTTTCGTGCCACCTCTATGGCTGAATTTATAAAAGCTTTACGTGTCTTTGCCTCTGAAGCCATGCGAGAGAAGACAAGAGGATCAGCACCTCCGCCACCAATAGAGAAAAGGGTTTTAACCAGCGGCTTTTTGTGATGGAGGGTGGTAGTAAAATTTGACAGCAGATGAGCTGTTGAACTTGGGATTTCGAATGTATAGGTGACGTTGCTTGGCATGAGAAAAGCATAGTAAATATGAGTAAACAAGGACGTATCTATGGCCGAAGGCGGGAAAGTTGTCGTCCATGAAGGCCAATAAGCTGCTTTGACAGCCGGTGGCAACGCCATGACAAGTCTTGTAGGCACAATTAAGAAAACAATGAGAAAGGAAAAGAGCTGAAAGTATGTCTTGGTGAGGCCTGCCATTATTGCAAAGAAGGCTTATCACTAATGATTTTCATCACGAGTCCAGAAGAGATATATATAGCAATCATCTAGCTAATAGTCTAGCCAGAAGAAACTTTGAACACTTCTTTGTTTATAGTTTTGGATCCTTGCCTTTATACATTAAACATAGTTTCTAGATTATAGGGAAGTTAAAATCGCATATATTTTGGCCGCCGCTGACATTTATTTGGGTAATTTTCACTTATATTTCTTGCAATTCTTACGTTTTTCATATGATATCTTCAGATAAGAAATGTGGGATTAGACTTTTCATATATTGGTGGGTTGGGTGGGCGTCTACAGAAAAATTGACTTACTCTATTCAAACATGGATTTGAAAATGATAAAAGGGTTGTCCAATTCCGATTGGAATCAAGGTTAAAATTGAGCGTATTGGGTAACTGTTCAAAACAGCACTAAACATAAAATAGGAAAGCAAAGTTTTTGCACTGATATAAATATATATGGTGGTGTTTGAACCTTACATATAATGGGCTTATGTGGTTGTTTCGCACTCTCGTTTGATTGTGGGAGAGGGCCTGCAGATGAGAAAGTGAAGGGACAAGTGGAAGTCACAGTCAAGCAACTTGGCTCTTATTACAGCTTTTGTAAAGTCTTAATTAATATAATCTCTTTCAATCATTTACCAAATGCAGGTGTATTTCATTCTCAAACTCTTAATATGATGGTTACCCTTTGATTTTTCAAGATTTGATATTTTCTTTCATTTTCTATAATTATATTATATAAATACATTTCATCATCATTTATTATGATATATCAATATCTCACATTAATATTATATAACATAAAACGATAATAAATTAAATTTTAATTATGTTTTAAATTGAAATTAAGTAAATACCTTGAATTAAGGTTTTTTTATTATCAGATTTCACCAACATGTTTTTCTTGTTAAGATTAGTGTTATCATAACCTCTTTATGATCCTTGTAGCCTGTTATTTATCTGTTGACAGGGGCTCCTTTCCTCCTTTCTTTTGTCTTTTGCTGCCAAAGGTTTTTTGCATAACATTCTTTTGCAAATTGTACAGGGGCAATACCCTCTCCATATCTGGCTTTCTATGCTATGCTAAGAGAAGTCTTCCACCAGTTAGGTGCTAGACTTATATGACATTTTAGCCTTTGACTTAATAAAATTTAATTTTCAAAAAAAAGAACTTTGAATTAATCCTTGAGTGGATTGCGCCTAGATGGCCATCTACCAGTACAAAATTTTCAACATAATAAATTTTGTCAACCCAAAATATTCAACCTAATACTTTGTAATCTGGTTATCATCTGACATGATGTAGCCTATGTTCAACTGTATGATTTGAAAAAAAAATTGTGTGTTGACAAAAAATATCGAAATCCAAGGTTTTTCTTGGCATGTATCGATTTAAGTAGCATCTATTCTTTCCTTTCGTTTCAGAGCAAAATCCGAAATAGTCTAGAGAGACTAAAGCCAGGGACTAGTCCTTGATGACTAGTTCTGTAAAGCTGTCTTCAGCCAATTTACAGTGGGCAAAACCAGCCATGGCCAACTTTGTAGAAAATCAGAACTGCTCTTCTATAGCCCTACCAGAACTGGACTCATCCGACTTTTGTCCTTGAAAGTCCAACTATTTACGGATAGTTTTTGTATTATTTTATAAAAATCAATAGCATTTGCTACACCTACTTTGGTAGATGATAGAATTCAATTAAAGCTTCATGATTGACAGTAATTAAATGGAGTGAAATGGCTTGTGTTCTGTACTCTTTGGTTTTTCTCCTGCATACCGCTGCTGTATATTATTGTTTCTTTGTAGCGGGGTTTGTTTGCTTTTTTGGGTAATAAAAATTTTCAATTATCTAAAAAATTATACTTGTTGCCAGAAAATACATTTCTGAGGAAATTTATGGCTAAGATAGCTTGCAAAAAACCTGCACTCTCATCGGGGTTCCAGTTCCGAAATTTGTGGATCATTGAAGGAGTATATTCCTTGTTGCGATGTGGATGTGCTCCCTGTACTTTTATCTGCTTTAACGGAGAAAGCTGGCCTTCTAGGACTAGTAGTCGCCATGGAATCGTTTTTGAGCATGGTGAACACTTCTAACATGGATGGTCTGTCCCCTGGATTTTCTTGGACACAGAGCAACGCGATTTGCATGCATCTCATGATTTTACAGGGTGAAGATGAGTCATCCAGTGATGGATCGATAAACTCTGTGCCTCTATTATCATTCCACAAGTCATACGCCTGCATCAAACCAATGAATTCATGGGAATCATGGCCAAAATGGTTGTAATCTTTGAACCCCTTAGGCCCTTTATACAATATCCCAAAAAATCGGTTTGATAAAACTTACAAATTCAAGAAGGTTCAAGTTCTCATGGTAGCCGTAATAACATGTATTCCTCTTGCCACTTATGATTTGCAGAAGTAGAACTCCGAAGCTGTAAACATCATACTTGATGGAGTAGGTACCTTTTGTTAAATATTCAGGAGGAAGATAGCCGCTGCATTGATGTGTTGATTAAAACGCTAAGCAAGTAAGCATACATCAAAAAAGAGCAAATTCTGTTTCCAAGTTCACTTACTATGTTCCAACAATTCTGCTAGTGTTTGCTTCATATGCATCTTTTCTGAAAAGTCTAGCCATCCCAAAATCTGATATCTTGGGGTTCATCTCATCATCCAGTAGTATGTTACTAGCTTTTATATCCCGATGAATCACTGTAATATTTGCATATTCTTGGAGATACAAAAGCCCTTGAGTGACCCCTTCTATGATATGCACCCGCTTTTCCCAATCCAGCGTACTCCTCCTGATAGGGTCTGCACAAAATTTTAGCAGCTCAGTTGAAAATTTTAGAACCCAAAAGGACAACAGAGGAAAAGAAAAAGCCATTTCAGGCCCATAATGTGCTTTAAACTGTAATAGAAGACATAAAATTAACTTGGCGTACCAAAGAGGTATAGATCTAAGCTTTTATTTGGCATGCACTCATATATCAGCATCTTTTCCTCTTTCTCAGTGCAATATCCCAAGACTCTTACTAGATTTACATGTTGAAGTCTTGCCGTCAAGGTAACCTCATTTTGGAACTCCTCAAGTCCTTGAGAAGAAGATGCAGAAAGCCTCTTTACTGCTATTTCTTGGCCTCTTGGAAGTTTACCCTATAAAAGTTCACAAGGGACACTCATAAATTTGCATTGTCTACCTAGCTAGCATTACTGCTCAAAGAAAGTGCATTAAATAGATATAAAACTCCAACCACTTAACAAAGCTAATAGAATTGTGTGTGCTCTTCTACATGCAGAATGCAAAATTCGCCCTTCAACAGTCAGTGGAAGTTGTAGTTTTTGTTCTGGTTTGAATTACATGTCATGCTCTATCTTTTCATGTGCTATCTATCTCAACACCTTCAGAAGCAGTTCACACATACAGTACCTTGTAAACGGGCCCGAATCCGCCTTCTCCAAGCTTGTTTGCAGTTGAAAAATTATTTGTAGCCGCTTTGATGTTGGCAAACCTGAACACTTGCAAATGAGGAACATCACTGGCAAAATTTTCAGCAGCTGATGTTGTGATTCTTGGGCCAGGAATGCCTCTTAAAACCATTTCCTCTGTAAAATGAATTGCAAGGAAAAACCAAAAAAATGTTTCCTTTCATGCCTTGATATCAATTTAAAATTTTACTTCAATTCCTATCCTCAATGGTTGAAGGCAATTACCTTCGGATTTGACTTTTCTTCGTCTCAAGTAATACAGGATAGCAGCTGCCAGGACAACAACTAGAGAAACTGGAAGGATGATTTTAAGCAACAACCGCTGCTTGTTTTCTTGAAGTTCTCCCTCTTGAGCTGTCAATGTAGTTTAGCATATTAATTAGAGTCTGTCATCAAAATTGTTAAACTTTTCGGTACCTACTTTGTTTGATTTCTGTAAGATTGATTTGAGAAAGTTCTAAAAGATCTTAAGCTACACATGGCAAGCAAATGACATAAGCCATATCCTAACTCTCTCTTTGATGCAGAGTTCTTAATACCGAGTGAAGCACAAAATCTTCTGAGATGATTGAAAGCAAATCTGAGGAATGAAATTCCTGCTGGTCTAATTTAGTTCATAAAAGTGATTTGTTCTCTCCAGATGTTGTATTCTTCTTAAGACCAAAATCTTACAGCATTTGAGTCAGCCTCATGTCTTAAGGGATTAGACGGGTGCCAAACTGAAACCGTCATATGCCTGATAACATTAATAAGAAATTTAGTACCTACCTGCCCGTGATAGCGCCCAATTATCATCATTAGAAAGCTGAAACGCATTGTAACCAGTAAGCCTTTTCTCCTTTGCATAGGCAATCTTTGCTTTGACAGTCTCTACACCATCAAAGTTGATCCAAATTGTTGGAGAGGTGAACAAGTTCACTACATAAGTTGCATTGTATACAGAAGCAGCTCCATAACCATAATCTCGAATATATGATTTGATAGATTTGTAGCCCATAGAACCATCAATGGTGATGGCTGGACCTGAAGCATGTGCCCCAATAGCATTATCTTGGGGGCTCACCAATTTCCATGCCCATCCATGGTAAGGCAAACCCAAAACCAGCTTGCTTGGTGGAAATCCTTTGTTTAACCATTCTCTGATACCAAAATCTGTATTAACATGACTCGATGGATTATACAAAGCAGCATGGACGCCTGTGAAATTCTCCCTTGAAGGCAAATGGTAGTCATATGCCACAACATGCGCCCAATCAACATTTCTACTTATGGACTCTATTGGATAACTTACCATTTCAATTTCTGGCAAGTAACGAACAGCTATTGTTAAGATCAATTGTGACTCACTTGGTTTTCTTGGCTCAGAATTTATGGCAGCTCGCCACTCATCTAATAAAACACCGATATTGGCCAAGTCCGTGCTGCTAGGCCAAAGCCAGAACAAGTCTATTCCATGAAAACCGTAACGCCTAGCTGTTTTTATTGAGGAATCAACGAAAGACTTCCTTTTAGAAGATTCTGAGATCATTGAAGATAATACTGAGTCGTTTACCTTTTCACCAGTTATGGATTTTCCTGTTGCAGATATCCCATTCCAGACGGACAACAACGCTTTAACAGACGGGTTTTTACGCTTGACGATACTTGTAAAGTTTGAGAAGTATTGTTCAGAGGCAGAGGGGATAAACAGCTGATAAGTTGAGGGGTTCACTTCAGCAAAAGCACATGAAAGATGATTAAACAACGCAGAATCTATGTCTTGTATGGGAAATTCACCATTAGCATACCAGTAGCCAGCTTTAACCCAAGTTTGTTCTTCTGAGAAGTGCCATAATTGAGAAGAAAGGAAGATGAAAAGAAGGATGAAGATTGTTTGGGACCCCATTGAAATTGGACTGCGAATAGGTTTTTTTCTCAGCTACTAAGGTATTTTTATTAACAATCTGCCCAGAATAGGAAGAGTACACTAACTGTTCATATTATGATTAGAATATAATAGGTGTGAACGTGCATAACACCAGCGAACAAAACATATATGATATTAAAAGTACCACAGTTCTAAACTAAGCTTTACAATATCAAAACATCGTGTTGACAGTAACTCCTCGGTTACGCAACAGTTCCAGAGTGGGAACTGGGAGGTACTTCTCGGTAGAATAAAGCACACCCTACCCTTTACTTGCAATTAAAGCACGAGGCTATTGGTTGTTTCTGTTCTTGAGGCTAATAAAAAACTACTTTCTTCATGACTTCAATGTTTTATAACACTGGGGTATTAAAAATCAGGAAATATCAATATATGGACTGAGGAGAAAGAACCCAACCAAAGTTGATGTGCTATGACTAAGACTACCCGGTTGGGTAGTAATGAAGAGGTTCAGGGAAACATTCTGAAGAAGTTACCAAAAAATATCAACTTCTTCCATACGGCGGCAAAATTTGGGCTTTTGTCACTGGCGTCACATGCTTGACTAATAAACTCTCTTAAACGTATCAGGAGGGTCTTTGTTGATGGACACTTGTATAAAAAAGACAGGAACACAAATGAGAAAAAGACATTACCCACGTAAATGACAGCTCCTGTTTGCTTAAAGTAAACCTGAGAGTTGATTAGTGGTTCTAACGCTGGGAGTTTCGCATATTTTCCATCAACCTCTGATTGGTTTTGACTTGGTCGAAAGCCTATTTGTCTAGTTGCCTTGTTCATCCGGTTTAAAACTGTTCCCTTGATTCGGAACTCCTAGCTTTCCTTCCCGTCAAGCCTCGCTAGAAGTCTAAACAGTCGAACCATCCCTTTTCTCAGACGGCTGCTTTCCCGTCCCTTCGCTGAGGCTGATCAGTCCTAAAACAATTTTTGGCATTCATTACATCTTTTGACTTGACACAATTATGTTAAAAGTGGACTAATGAAGCAAAACAGCAGCAGCCTTTCTTCACGCAGAGAAAATTTACCTTAATTAATTTTCTTTTTTCTTTTCAGCTTCAAATTAATCATCATAACACAACCTGTCGTATACGTAAAGACCACTTGATCTTGGGTTAAATTCATGTGGCAGCCATGTCCGTGCAATGTGTCTGAGTGTGTCATGTGTCACAAAAATACAGTTATTCTGTTTAAGAATGTCCCCAAAGTCAACTGGGCATAGATGCCCATCTGCCGGCAGCCCAAATTTTCCCGAACATAATCAGATAGAACTACCACTTGGGTTATGCTTGCTTCTATGGGTAATAAAAATTTTCAACTATTGTATCTAAAAACTTATAACTCGTTGCCAGAAAATACATTTCAGAGGAAATTTATGGCTATGATATCTTCCAAAAGACCTTCACCCTCATCGGGGTTCCAATTCGGAAATTTGTGGATCATTGAAGAAGCATATTTCTTGTTGCGATGCGGATGTGCTCCCTGTTTTTTTATCTGCTTTCACAGAGAAAGCTGGCCTTTTAGGGGAAGAAGCCGCCATGGAATCATTTTTGAGCATGGTGAACACTTCTAACATGGATGATCTGTCCCCTGGATTTTCTTGGACACAGAGCAACGCGATTTGCATGCATCTCATGATTTTACAAGGTGAAGATGAGTCATCCAGTGATTGATCAATAAACTCTGTGCCTCTATTATCATTCCACAAGTCGTACGCCTGCATCAAACCAATGAATTCATGGGAATCATGGCCAAAATGGTTGCAATCTTTGAACCCCTTAGGCCCCTTATACAATATCTCAAAACATTGGTTTGATAAAACTTACAAAGTCAAGAAGGTTTAAGTTCTCATGGGGGCCGTAATAACATGTATTCCTCTTGCCACTTATGATTTGCAGAAGTAGAACCCCGAAGCTGTAAACATCATACTTCATGGAGTAGATACCTTTTGTAACATATTCAGGAGGAACATAGCCGCTGCATTGATGTGTTGATTGAAACGCTAAGCAAGTGAGCGTACATCGAAAAAGAGCAAATTCTGTTTCCAAGTTCACTTACTATGTTCCAAGAATTCTGTCAGTGTTTGCTTCATATGCGTCTTTTCTGAAACATCTAGCGATCCCAAAATCTGATATCTTGCGGTTCATCACACCATCCAGTAATATGTTACTAGCTTTTAGATCCCGTTGAATCACTGTAATATTTGCATATTCTTGGAGATATAAAAGCCCTTGAGTGACCCCTTCTATGATATGCACACGCTTTTCCCAATCCAGCATATTCCTCCTCATAGGGTCTGCAAAAAATTTTAGTAACTCAGTTGGAAAGTTTAGATCCCAAAAGCCAATTGAGGAAAAAAGAGAACCACTTTTGATTGTTGAATTAAGACTTGCGTTGAAAATTTTCAAGCCAGGACAGCAGACATGAGTCCATGGTTCACTATTTTGTAATGTGATAGTTAATTATTGTCATGCCTTCTATTAGATGCACCTAATGTATGGGTGAACTGATGTTTAGCCTCTGATAGTATATTGTAGTATATAATGTGATAGTTGACTTTGGTGAGACCTTTGCACTAGTTGCAAGAGTTGAGACAATTAGACTACTAGTTGCTTTGGTTGTTCTTCTTGAGATTTCAGTTAGATCAGTGTGTTACTGGTACTTTCTTGTCTTAGAAAAGGTATACAACTGAGGTCTTTAAGGGTAATATGGATCTATGCAAACCAATTTGTTATCCCATGGTAGTGAATGAAAAACTTACAGCCCCCAGCTCCTCTAACTTAGCAGAACCATCACTACATAGAAGCCTCATTGGTTGCTTTCTTTACATATGTGGTTCAAAACCTGATATGATGTTTTCTTTTAGTTATCTATCCAGGTTCATGCAAAGTCCTACCGTGCTGCACTTTACAGCAACTAAAAGAATTCTGAGATACTTAAAAGGACACTTGGACTTTGGTTTGCACTTCAAGCATTTTGATACTGTCAATCTCACTGGCTATAGTGACAGTGAAGGCAGGGAGTGTTGAAGACTCCAAAAGCACATCTAGTTATGCTTTTCATCTAGGAAGTGCTATATTCAGTTGGAATTCAAGAAAGTAGGAGGTTATAGCTCAATCTACAGTAGAAACAGAATACATTCCTGCTACAGCTGCCAAAAATCAGGCTGTTTGGCTTAGGAAACTACTTTGTGATATAAAATTTGATCAAAAGGAAGCTACTGAAGTGTTTATAGACAACAGGTCAACAATTGCCCTTGCCAAGAACCCAGTGAATCATGGAAGAACAAAACATATAAGTGTAAAGTATCATAATTTGTGAGAAACAGAGAAGAATAGAGAGGTTAAATTCAACCACTGCAATTCTGATATGTAGTTAGCTGATATGTTCACCAAAGCTCTGCCAAGCAAGATTTGAGAGCTATGCTTGGGGTCTGCAAAGCAAGTTTTAAAAAGGAGTGTTGAATTAAGACTTGCATTGAAGAACTTTTTCAAGCCAAGACAGCAGACATGAGTCCATGCTTCACTGTTTTGTAATGTGACCGTTACTTACTGTCATGCCTTATGTCAAATGCACCTAATGTATGGCTGAACTCATGTTTAGCCTCTGATAATGTATTGCAGTGTAGAAGTTAGGCTTAAACTTTGCTTTTAAGTCTTGTATGATGTACATATTTCCAAGTTAATGAATATCAGGCTTGATTAAGCCTGTATTCCTCTTGCTGTTTTATCTTCTTAATTTGTTCTGTTTTCTGTTTGTCCTCATTTATGATTGCTTGTTCATCTGGTATGTAATGCTGAGTTTCATTTACGTCATAAAAAAATCACAGATGATATCATTAGATACAAAATTTATTTCCAAAATGTGCTTGAAAAAACTGTAATAGAAGTCATAAAAAGAACTTAGCATACCAAAGAGGTAGAGATCTAAGCTTTTATTTGGCATGTACTCGTATATCAGCATCTTTTCCTCCTTCTCTGTGCAATATCCCAAGACTCTTACTAAATTTACATGTTGAAGTCTTGCCGTCAATGCAACCTCATTTTGAAACTCCTCAAGCCCTTGAGAAGAGGATGCAGAAAGTCTCTTTACTGCTATTTCTTGGCCTCCTGGTAGTTTACCCTATCAAAGTTCAAAAGGGATACTCATAAATTTGAATTGTGTGCTACCTAGCTAGCTTTACTGCTGAACGAAAATCCATTAAATAAATATAGAACTCCAACCACTTAACAAAGCTAATACAATTGTGTGCGCTCTTCTACATGCAAAATGCAAAATTCGCCCCTAAACAGTCCAGGGGAAGTAGTAGTTTTTAGTCTGGTTTAAAGTACATGTCATGCTCCTTCTAATCATGTGCTACATATCTCAACACCTTCAGAAGTAGTTCAATCATACAGTACCTTGTAAACAGGACCGAATCCGCCTTCTCCAAGCTTGTTTGCACTTGAAAAATTATTTGTAGCCGCTTTGATGTTGGCAAACCTGAACACTTGCAAATGAGGAGCATCGCTGGCAAAATTTTGAGCAGCTGATGTAGAGATTCTTGGGGTAGGAATGCCTCTTAAAACCATTTCATCTGTAAAAAGAAATGCCAGGAAAAACCAAAAATAATGTTTCCTTTCATGCCTTGATATCAATTTAAATTTTTGTTTCAATTCCTATCCTCAATGGTTGAAGGCAGTTACCTTCGGATTTGACCTTTCTTCGTCTCAAGTAATACATGATAGCAGCTGCCAGGATAACAACTAGAGAAACTGGAAGGATGATTTCAAGCAACAACCGCTGCTTGTTTTCTTGAAGTTCTCCCTCTTGAGCTGTCAATTTAGTTTAGCATATTATTGTTTTTTTGAAAGGTGAAAAAAGCTTTCAAAAAAAAATTGATATGCTAAACTAAATTAGAGTCTTTCATCAAAATTGTTAAACTTTTCTGTACCTACTTTGTTTGATTTCTGTAAGATTGATTTGAGAAAGTTACGAAAGACCTTAAGCTGCACATAGCAAGCAAATGACATAAACCATATCCTAGCTCTCTGTTTGATGCATGAGTTCTTAGTACCGAGTGAAGCACAAAAAAGCAGTCTTAGAAATGAAATTCCTGCTGGTCAAAAATTAGTTCGTAAAAATGATTTGCTCTCTCCTGTTGTTGTACACTTCTTAGGACAAAAATCTTACAGCATTTAAGTCAGCCTCATGCCTTAAGGGATTAGACAGAGGTCCCAAACTGAAATTATCACATGCCTGATAACATATATAAGAAATTTAGCACCTACCTGCCCGTGTTAGTGCCCAGTTCTCATCATTGGAAAGCTGGAACGCGTTGTAACCAATAAGCCTTTTCTCCTTCGCATACGCAATTTTTGCTTTGACAGTCTCTACACCATCAAAATTGATCCAAGTTGTTGCAGAGGCAAACAAGTTCACTACATAAGTTGCATTGTATATAGAAGCAGCTCCATAACCATAATCTCGAATATATGCTTTGATAGCTTTGTAGCCCAAAGAACCATCATTGGTAATTGATGGGCCTGAAGCTTGAGCACCGACACCATTATCATGGGGGCTCACCAATTTTTATGCCCATCCATGGTAAGGCAAACCCAAAACCAGTTTGCTTGGTGGAAATCCCTTCTTTAACCATTCTCTGATACCAAAATCTGTATTAACATGACTGGATGGATTGTACAAAGCAGCATGGACACCTGTTAAATTCTCCCTCGTAGGCAAATGGTGGTCATATGCCACAACATGCGCCCAGTCGACATTTCTACTTATGGAGTCGGTTGGATAACTTACCATTTCAATTTCTGGCAAGTAACGAACAGCTATCGTTAAGATCAATTGTGATTCACTTGGCTTTCTTGGCTCAGAATTTATGGCAGCTCGCCACTCATCTAATAAAACGCCAATATTGGCCAAGTCCGTGCTGTTAGGCCAAACCCAGCTCAAGTCTATTCCATGAAAACCATAGCGCCTAGCTGTTTTTATTGAGGAATCAACGAAGGACTTCCTTTTAGAAGATTCTGAGATCATTGAAGATAATACTGAGTCATTAACTTGCTCACCAGTTAATATTTTCCTGTTGCAGATATCCCATTCCAGATGGACAACAGTGTTTTAACGGATGGGTTTTTACGCTTGACGATACTTGTAAAGGTTGAGAAGTCTTGTTCAGAGGCAGAGGGGATAAAGACCTGATAAGTTGAAGGGTTTACTTCAGCAAAAGCGCACGAAAGATGAGTGAACAACGCAGAATCTATGTCCTGTACGGGAAATTCACCATAAGCGTACCAGTAGCAAGCTTTAACCCAAGTTTCTGCTTCAGAGAAGTGCGATAATTGAGAAGAAAGGAAGTTGAAAAGAAGGATGAAGATAGTTTTGGACGCCATTGAAATTGGACTGCGGATATTTTCCTCAGATTGATGCCTACCTACAAGAATTATTTATCATCATCAGTACATCCCGTGTTGACATGAACTCCTCGATAATGCAACACTTCCCGAGTGGGGACTGGCAAGTATTTTCTCTGTTGATTCTGCGTTGTAGCTAGGAATTGGGTGTTTTATTACTTGTTGTAGCTATTGTATGACGTTGTTTATCAAAAAAATTTGCCATTTTTATTCATCAAAATAAGATTGCTATCAGGTTCCTCTAATCTGAGGTTTGTCAGACTCCTGGAGCAGGGACCAAGTCTACGACTTGAGCTGGCGCCAAGTAATAGAAAGAACATAAAATGGGCTTGTAAGGACTAAGGAGAGAGAACCTGACCAAAGTTGATGTGCTATGAATAAGACTTCTGAAGATTTTGTTACAGAAATTGGATTCTGTTAATATTCTGAGAAAAAATTGTTACAGAAAAATATCAGCTTCTTCTCTACAGCGACAAGATTTTGGGCTTTTATCTTTGGCGTTGCATATGTTTGACTAATAAACTCTCTCTTACATTATCAGGGGGATTCTTACATTGTATCTAACGCTGGGAGTTTCGTAGATTTTCCACCAACCTCTGATTGGTTTTTACATAGTCTAGAAACTAGAAAATTTGGCATCCCTATAATTAGCCTTATATTCCATTGTAATCAATTTCTTTTTTGAATTTTTGTAAGCAAAAGAATGAAAAAATAAGCAGATTCAACACTTTGCTCCAATCATCAATATCTATATTTGCATGATTAAAGATTGGTAAACCATAATTCTTTTCCATTAGGTCTCCCATACTGTCATCGAGGTATCACTTGGGTTATAGTGGCATCATTGACTGAAAACACCTTGTCCCTGGAAATGTCTTTACTTCCCTCTTTTCCATCTCTTATGACCGAAAAGGCAGGCTGCTTAGGGGTGGAGATTGCAACAGTTTCGTTCTTGAGACCCGAAAAAACTTCGACCATTGATGGTCTATCTGCAGGGCTTTCCTGCACGCACAGCAGTGCTACTTGCATGCATCGCACGAGCTTACACGTTGAAGATGAATCATCCAGTGATACATCAAAGAACTCTGCCCCTCGACCTTGTTTCCACAATTCGTATGCCTGGAATTGTTCAATGTTAATGCATTTTGGCTAAAAAAACAAAAGATGTTACAGTATGACAAATAAAGGGGAAAAAGGGGTGTGCCGAAGTAACTCACATATTCAAGAAGATTCAAGTTTTCATTGCATCCATATCTGCTGGAATTTCTCTTGCCACTTATAATTTGCAGAAGCAGAACTCCAAAACTATAAACATCATATTTCATAGAGTAGGTTCCTTTCTTAACATATTCTGGAGGAACATAGCCACTACATTGAATGAATTAATAACTAACAATAACATAGATGCAATGCAGGAAAGAAAAAACATATGATATTTCATCATTTGAAAGTCACTGGTTTACTTACAATGTCCCAACAATTCTGCTGGTGTTTGCTTCAAGTTCATCCTTTCTGAATAATTTGGCCACACCAAAATCAGATATTTTTGGGTTCATATCATCATCTAATAAAATGTTGCTAGCTTTTATATCACGATGAATTATTGTGAAATTCGAGTATTCTTGTAGATATAGAAGCCCTTGAGTAACACCTTCAATTATGAAAACACGTCTTTTCCAATCTAAGAGATACCTTTTAACTGGATCTGCATAAATTAAATGTATGGAAGGATTAGTTAATCACCTTAATCATACTAGGTGTGTAGAATTCAGAATTGCTTACCGAAGAGGTAGAAATCCAAGCTTTTGTTTGGCATGAACTCATATATCAGAATTTTCTCTTCCCTCTCAGTACAAATTCCCATGACTCGAACTAAATTCACATGTTGAAGCCTTGCAGTAAGTGTGACCTCATTTTTGAACTCTTCAAGCCCTTGATTAGAGGTTTTTGAAAGTCTCTTAACTGCTATTTGCTGCCCTTGGGGTAACATACCCTGTTATAGTCCGCATTCTTTAAAAGTTAATACCAACCATGTGTTTGATTAACAATTGTTTTGTAAGTAAAAGAGTAGTTTCATTGTTTGGATGTTCAGGAAGTTATAATCTCTGCAGGTAAGCAGAGTGCACCTACAGTAAAACATATGGTTCTTATTCTAATGCAGTATCGAAGATTGCTGCAGATTCCTCACTCAAGGCTGAATCTGCCTGGTCATCATCATTTCATGACTAGCAGATAATAAAAATTAGAGATGAAAATACTTTTCCAATATTCATTTTCAGGTTTCCTATAATAAGTTAAGCCTAATATTACCTTGTAGACAGGTCCATATCCACCCTGGCCCAACTTATTCTCACTTGAAAAGTTATCTGTGGCTGCTTTAATGCTAGGAAAACTGAAAACTTGGAGATTAGGAGCACTGTTGTCCTGCTCCTTATCAGCAGATATTTTGGGTCTCACCCGAAAGACTGACTTTTTCAATGTAGCCAAAAGTCCTGCAGCCAAAATGAAAGAGAGTTACCTGTTGGAATTAATTTCGCACTTATTTCTTTTTTCTAACTGCAAATTTTCACTTGTCCAGTAAGTTACCTTGTGACTTGAATATTTTTATTTGCAGGTAACAAACGATAGTCCCCATCAGGAGAATCACTGCAGCAACTGTAACCAGAACAATCACCAATAACTGCTGCTTCTCCCGTCGACTGGTGCCTATTCCATAAGCTGTGGACATTGTTCATTATATTAATTACAAAGTCTAGCAAGGATCTCCAAACTTTACCAGGTTCTGTTCTTCTTTAGCGTGCTAACATGACATAATAATGATAACACATCCTTATTGTTTACTTGGAAGGTAAGGTACTGCACCATACTCCGCCATGCTCAAGCTGAAAGGCTTTAAGTCAATAGGTTTTTCTCTTTGTGTGGAAATAAAAAAGTGACTGCTTAACTTGAGAAAGCCCAAAAGTCAGAAATACAAATAGAGGCAAAAATGAGTTCAGTTGACGCGTCTACACTTGAAAAACCAGTGAATAAACAAGAAAGAAAATGAAATGGTACGATGTTCTATTTCCACATCTTTGATTAATTGGGTGTAATTTTTAGCTCCCTTAGTTGGAATTTTGTGTAAAAGAAACTGGATTAAGTTCAATATCTTTCAAATAGAACTTGATTTGGACTATTGCTAATCCTGTATCCAGAAAGGCTAAAAAAGAATGAAAAAGAAGAGATTAGAGAATCCACAGAACTAAAGGGAGATAACCATCATACCAGCTTGAGAAAGCAGCCAATTTTCGTCGTTGGAGAGTTGAAACACATTGTAACCAAGTAGCCCCTTCGCCTTGGCATAAGAAACCTTAGCTTTAATAGCTTCCACATCATCAAAATTGATCCAATTTGATCCAATTTTGCAGAAACTGACCACATAAGTAGAATTATACACAGATTCAGCGCCATAACCATAATTTTGAATGAATGATTTGATTAACTTATAGCCCATGGAACCATCGATTGTGACAGCGGGCCCTGAAGCTGGTGAACCAATGTCATTCTCACCAGAGTTAACAAGTGTCCACGCATAGCCATGGTAAGGCAAACCTAAAACTAGCTTGTCTGCAGAAAATCCTCTGTGTAACCATTCCCTTATACCAGCATCAGTGTTAGCCCCACCAAATGGGTCATATAAGGCTGCATGAACGCCAGTAAACCTGTCTACTGTTGGCACATAGTAGTCATATGCTATAATATTTACCCAATCCAGGTTTCTCTTTGCAGAATCAATCGGATAACTCACCGAGTTGACAGTTGGCACGCGACCAAACGACATAGTTAACAGTAACTGTGTCTTACCAGAGTTTCTTGACTCAGAAGCTACCTCAGCTCGCCACTCATCCAAAAAAGTTCCCAAACTGGTCATGTTGGTGCTATTTCTAGGCATAACCCCACGAAGGTCTAGGCCAAGAAAGCCATAAAGCCTAGCTTTTCTTACGGAAGATTCAATGAAAGATTTTCTGTTGGACGTTTGATTTATCATCAACGAAAAGGTTGTCGACTCACTTTTTCCAACCCAAATGGATAAAAGTGTAGTAATCGATGGATTTTTGAGTTTTACAGTGTTGGTGAATTCAGAGAAGGTTGTTTCCTTTGAGGAGTTGATTAAAAGCTTGTAGGAAGTAGAGTTTACATATGCAGAAGCGCAAAAGAGATGAGTGAAAAGAGCAGAATTTATATCAGAAACAGGAAGCTCACCGCTAGAGGCCCAGTAACCAGCTTTGATCCATGTTTGTGGGCTTAAGCATTGTAGTTTAAACGGTAGAAACAGGAGGAGGAGAAGGAGGAACATGGGTTTAGAAGCCATTAATGAAAGAAGCAAGCTCTTGCGCCTAGAAGTGCAATTTGGTTAAGCAAGGTGACACGTCGAGTCTCTAATCTTTATCTGACTACATGCAGATTATGTGAGAAAAATCAAATTCTTTTCGACTGTTGTTGGCCGACAATACTTTCCGTATCGAAGGGTTTTGCGTAGTTTTCCGGGTATTTTCATTGAAGGAAACGCGTGTTTAGGTTTGGAGAAAAAGAAAAGTCTACAAAAAAACCTCCGGGTATTTTCATTGAAGGAAACGACTGTTTAGGTTTGGAGAAAAAGAAAAGTCTACACCAAAACCTTTCTCCGCCTTAATTCAACCATCAGATTCGAGAGTTAAGTCAAAGGGAGTACAGTTACAACAGAAGAAGCTACCAAATGAAATTACTAACTACTTACAAGCCTGGTCATAACCAAGTTGAATTTCAATGGGAAAAGAAGGGACAGCTGCTTGTTGCATCGGACAAGTGCCACCATTTTGCCTACATTAAATCAAAACTAATTTACATCACGAAAACCTTCTTTGACCTTTGTCGTTATGCAACACGTCCATGAACATGTGGCATGCGGCCTCTTATTGCACGACCATGTGTTGGGCCGTTCGCCCAACTCCTTTGTTGAATGGTTTGTGAGAAACAAGAAAAGAGAAGGGTTGATTTTCACTAGTCA